CATTCTGGCGTGGCCCCGATGCCATCATTTTATCAGCACCTGGGCCCGACACTCAGTATCGTTTCAGTGGGAAGCGGCTAGTTGTTTAAATTTTTCTGTGACCTTCTTTGGGTCCTTCTGTCCATAAAACTTCTTTTGAGCGTCTCAGACTTCATACAATCTGGCTGATGTCGACAAGGATGGGAGTGGTCTCTGACGATCCGTATACAAGTTGCCTACTAAGTTGGTATTTGGATCTCTACCTGGGCCTCTACGGACATGCAGTGTTGGCGGCCACTGCCCTTCCCGCTTTATCCTCACCATTCATCGATTCATCGCTTCCGCAACTTTGATATCTTGTCCTACTGTGTGTGCCTTTTTTAACTTATCGAAGTTTTTGTTTTAGTTTATGTCTGCAGTTTGTCCCATACTTTCGAAGATAGCTGGATAAGGAACGAGCTTGACGCCCTCGATGTGCCTCTCCTGTTTCAAATAGGATATCCTGTGGAGCTCCATAAAATATGTGGGTGGGGGCGGATGGCGATGCTAGCTGCAACTAACGACAAGATGAAGTGGTTTCTGGCATCCTCAGCATTTCTGGATCTGGTGCCTTCTGCAATAGACAGGCTCACCCAGGGTTTTCAGCTAGAAAAGGGATTCAGTCGGTATTTTCGGCAAAGTTTTTTATTCGTGGAGACTTGAACCAACCTAATCAATCGTTGTGCGCTTATATGCGCACGATATTTTTTCGACTGATGACTAATATGCAATTTGTGGCTCGAGTCAAAACAACTGTAGAAGATGAATAAGCTAAGAAAAGGCTATTGCAGGAATTAAATGGCAAAATGAGAAATGGCTAATGCGGAATTATGGCAAAATGAGAATTGACTAATGTGAAATTATTCGGAAATTTTTGAACTAAACTCCCGGGGATTAGACTCGTTTCTTGGCTGGAAATGTGTGCGAGAAAAAGTTTACAATAGAAATAGTGAGCGAGATGAATATTATAGCGACACATGCGACTACAAATGTTCTAAGGAAAGCGAAGACGGCCAAATTTTCCGTAACTGATGTCCATTCTTTAACGCTCTGCCAAACGCTGTCGGATGAAATCGTGCTGATGTCGTTGTCAATTTCAATCTCGCTTTGAAGCTCTGAAATTCGTACGTAATCCAAGGCACCGTTGGCGAGAATGTGCGACTACCCTCCCTGGCAGGAGACGGTGCAATTCGAGGCAGTGTTCGGGGGGTTGAAGTGGAAGTTCAATACTGATAGTCTTCCTCTTGGAGTGCATGTAGCAAGTTGATGTTCTCCTTCGCATGTGATGTCAGCAATGATTTGGTCCTCCGTGGAGTAGTATATGATTGTGGCTTCTGCTCCAAGAATACAGGAGTAATATCTCGAGAACCGAAGCCGTAATGGAGCATTACCCTATGGTTCTGAATTGTCGTTGATTTTGACATTTTCCATCGTTGTGTGAACGTGAATGGCTGATCCAACTTGCGTACGGAGCTGCAATCGTATCGCCGTGTTTTTCGATGACGATGTTCTTGCTTGTGAATGGCAAGGTGTTGCGTTGCAGATAAGACGACATTTTCCCTTCTGGACATGTGCAGCCGGCTTTGAAGGCTCCCGTAGAATGTGTACATGAAGAAACTCTTGAAGAAAAGCGACAATGGATCTGTTTCGCTTCGGCCCTGGAAGCGCACCGGAGTTGGGCTGGAGTTGGGGAGTTGACTCATTCGCCTGAACGGTCATTGTTATAGCTGTTTTCCTGCTGGCTGTTATGGAGGCCGTGTCTAAACTGGAAAGCTGGGGAGAAACTGTCCGGAGGAAAGATAGTTTAAGGTCCTTTGCTCTCGAAGTTCTTCCTAGCCGAAGTACGACACCGTGTGTCTCCGTTTCTTGATTTTGCAGTTGAAAGTAACGTCCACTGTAACTGTCAGCTCCCATACTGGACAGGTGAAGACCGTATAGATAGAGTGTGATGATGGCGTTGCGTAATACCGGTAGAATAAACAAGATGGCGTGCGAAAGAAGCAACCGTCACAGTTCCAACATTGACAGCTGCTTGTACAAAATGTGAAACCTGGATTATTCGACGCTTTCCAGCTGAACTCGGATATGACGTCTGTTGATTTCGTATTGTCGCATTTCCCAGGCTTGCAGCTTGTTGCTCTGTAGCATCGAGAGAAGATTGCGAGTGGAATTCATGGCCGCATGTAAAGAATTCAATTTATTGGTGGCAGACATGTAAGATGTTTCTCATCCGTAATGACACTTGGCCGATTGGTTCGTTGTTGTCATTTCCCAGTCACATTAGTCAATTCTCATTTTGCCATAATTTCACATTAGTCATTTCTCATTTCGCCATGATTCCCTAATAGCCTTTTCTTAGCTTATTCGTCTTCTACAACTGTTTTGACTTGAGCCTCAAATTGCATATAAGCCATCAGTCAAACGAAATCTCGTGCGCATTTAAGCGCACAACAGTTGATTGGTTTGGTTCAAACCTCCACGAATAAAAGCTTTGCCGAGGATATCGACTATCTTCGCGTTCATTGACGTAGGACCTATAGTCCTTCCCTGCACCTTTACTTGATCTAATTTGGAACCTTTTCGATTAGGGATTACTCGATCCCCACTAGAACTCAAGCTGTCCTTGCAAAAAGTTTCACGCGTCTTGGATAACTATTCTCCAAGCCATTTCTGGGCTGTCTTTTCAGCGACATTTTTCCATCTCTAATCATGCGTGCGGTCTACGTCAGCGGAGCTGTCACTTTGGACGTTAGGCTAAATATGTCGCATTTTCACATTGTTCAAAACGTATGGGATCATCCCTTCCGCTGGGGTCCAACATTCGGCCCCGTTGCAGTGACAAGAAAATTTCGCATTAATAATACGAAACTAAAACGAAAAAACCCACTGTCCCGATTTTACTATACACACTATTATAATGCACAGATTTTCGAAAACTTAGCTCTTTTTTATACTTCAGTTGAAAGCAGTTCTACTTGAACATTTTTGTGCAGGCCTGGTTGTCAACGTATGCCGGACAATGAGACAACATTTGGTTATAACCTTATCCATTATCAGATGAATCATGGAGACCCTTACAGCTACTATCACAGTTACTTCCGTCAAACGCCAAAGTGAGCCTGAAATTGTTTTTTCTGTGGAAGAACGGTTTGCTCAGTTGATGTGTAGAGAAGGCTATTTCCATATAAAAATCAACAAATCCACAGAAAGGTTGTCTCTTCCCAGTTTTCGAGAAAGTTACCCAACGAGGTAGAGCCTTGCATACGATAGGGCGGGATTGGAGTGCTGCCAAGGCAGTCTTTCTATCAATGGTGACATCCTAAGTCGCTAAGCAGAAAGTTTGGACTGTAATCTAACATACGCCCCGTGGCTGTCTCAGGTTATTTGTTAACCGTAAAACTTTTCCACTCGTCCATGTTTCCTTCCCCCTCCTTTTTCTTCTTCCTTCCTCCGCTCAACTCTCTTCCTTATTTTCCTTCACCTAGATGCTCGATCAGAGGAGCTATGAGAAAATATCTCCGGAACCTCGCAGCTAGAGAGCATCCGTTTGAAAGGTGTCGTGCCGGGGGTGGCCTCCTGTTCCCCTCACACCTGGCCTCTGCCAGGTGACCAGCCCTCTGACGTCGCATCGGTGCCTGGAGGGGAAAGGATCCGCCCTCGGCGCGAGGGTTGCAGGGGACTTACGAGCGCTTGCCCATGCTCGCCACGGTGTTGCCACGCGGGGTTAATGTTGCTAACCGCAACCGGTAGGCCCTTACTGCCCCTACGCTATATGCGCACAACGGACATGTACCCACTACCCTCCTACCTACACCCTGTCCTCACATCTACCTAAGATATCTGCTTTCACGGCTGATCAGGCCGTACACGTCATTACTTCCTACTGGGACCAACGACCAACGCATCATAAACTATACTATGAACTATGATGAACCGTAAAGAATAAATGTATGAGAAATGATGTGGTTTTAACCACTATTGCTACACGACAATACACAGAATAATCAAATAGGTTTACCACTCTGCTTATTAACCATGAGCAATAATAATAGAAAAGGCAATTACTAAAAGAGAAAACTACTAATAGTAAATGTAAAGGTACGGCCCCTAACCTACGTACGAACCCTGCCAAGAAACTGCCTATGGGCCACGAGGGTACAAGCCCACTAGGGGCCTCGGAGACACCCTCACCTCTGGCTGCCCAAGAGGCTCGGGTGTTCCTCCTCCTCTAGCGGTTACCTGGGATGTTCACGGCCGGAGGTAATGTTGCGGTACGGCTCCTTGATATTGAAGTGTTGCCATAGCAGTTGGACAATGAAGTTGACACTAGGCGACGAGCGGAGGAGCGACCAGTCGATACGGCGGCGGACGACGAAGTGAGAGAGAGGCCAGAGTCGACGCCGACTCTGCATCCCTAGCGGCTTCCAGAATGTTCGACCGTACCGCTAAGCGCGCCAGGACCGCCGCGCGCCCCACTACGCGACCGTTTAATAAAGAGTCGGACGAAAGTCACGACAAAAGGAGATACTCGTGACCTCTCTGTCACACGCCCTATCGTTTGCAAGGATCATGGCTATGGCAGAAAGTCGTTTTAAGCAGTAAGCGACCAACACTGCTAATAAACCGAATGATTTAATGATTTCCTATTGGCAACCCAGGCACAAACAGATGAGACAAACTGCAGACATAAACTATACAAAAACTTCGATAAGTTAAAAAAGGCACACACAGTAGGACAAGATATATCAAAGTTGCGGAAGCGATGAATCGATGAATGGTGAGGATAAAGCGGGAAGGGCAGTGGCCGCCAACACTGCATGTCCGTAGAGGCCCAGGTAGAGATCCAAATACCAACTTAGTAGGTCCCCCAACTTTGCTGAGATCCAACTCCAATTGCCGCAGACAAAGTGGGAGGAAGATGCAACGGTAAAGTGAAAAAATAAAGAAACAAACTGCAAAAGCACAATTTACGCCAATTGTTACAAAAGCACCGTTAAACATATCATATACAGTAAAAAACGCTTCGCGGGTTGTTCAAGTATAGTATAGTTGTTGTCCCCAGTACCTTGAGAAATAAGTTTCTTCACTTTGCTCCAAAAACTTAAGAGAGCTCGAGTTAACAACAGCAGTGGGTAAATAGTTCCAGAGGCTAATAGTCCTTTGCCTCGGAGAATTTCAAACTGGACCAATTTTTTTTTCCACCACGCTCCTATAATTGTGACCCCTAGTAAGACCGAAAAAGGTTTGTAAATCAGAAATCGGAGATCAAAGTTGAAAACTTTTCTAAGTAAGTTTGTAGTGGACACTTTCATAATGCGACCATGGCGAGTATGAAGGCTAGCACGGGACAGTATTCAAAAGTGGCGCGCACATAGTGGCAAAGAGATGAAATAAAGTTTTCATATTTCTTGATGAAAATGCTCGCAGATGTGATCCCCCTTGCATTGCGTTACGTGTACTGCCTCGGTAATACAGTAGTTGCTAGATAGCGATTTAGAACACAAAATGCCCAAGTTCTTAAGTGCATCAGGTTCCTTCAACTCAACATAAACGAGTGAATGTTCGGGAGCTGATGAACAATGAGGTCCCACTCGCAGAGCAGTCTGCAGTTTTCGCCAAAGAAGTCTGCAAGTCCCCTTCTTCTAGCTCAAGATGATATGGCATCAATAGCAGCTTGCATTAGAGCAGGTTTTCCTGTGCAGTACACCTTTGACATCATCTGTATACATACATTGCG